TCTATGGCCAGAAGACCTAGGTTCCAGACCTGCGTCTGACCTTCACTAAGTGTGTGAACGGAGAAAGACGTGCTCCTTTAGAGGCGAGGAAGAAGGAGGTGAACTGAAGGAGTCTGAGGAAGGAGAATCAGGGGAGAGCCTGTCCCAGAGGCCAAGGGAAGAGGGAGCGTGAGCGCTGCTGCTGGCGGGGACCAGCAGTGCCAAAGGCTAAAGGAAGGTCAAGACAAGGACATCTGGACCTCACCATGCCTCAGACTAAACTCCATCTCCCCCACCCCAACCCTTCCTCTCTTCCTAACTTTTCTATGACTAGGCCAGGGCACCGCCATCTCCCCAGTCACCCAGGCTCTCAACCCAGGGATCATCCTCAACCCTCTCTCACCCCCCACATCCAGGTTGACAAGTCTTGTAGCTTCTGCCTTTATAACATCTCCCCAATACGCTCCTCCTCTCCTCTGTCTGTGCCCTCACCCTGGTGCACCCTGGAGGGTTCCTCCCCTCATGCCTGCTCTACTGCCATAGCTGCTGAAGTGGGGTCTGCCTGCCTCAGTTTCTCCTCACTCCAGTCCATCATCCCCAAAGCTGTCAAGTTGATCTCCTTCAAGTTCAGATATGGCCACATAGTCAATAAACCCAATGGCTCCAGGAGCAAATATAAAATCTCTGTTTGGCATTTAAAGCCCTCATAACCTGGTGTTTTCCTACCTTTCTGCCGTTCCAGTCTTCCAGTACTTTGCCCTTGTCTTCTCCATACTCTCATACATCCTCACACATCCAGTGACACCGGCCTTCTGACTACTCCATGAACAAGACCTCCATCCCTTGGCTCTGGACATTCTCTCTGGCTAACCCATGCATCCAATGCTCTGTCCTCATCTCCACCTTCTGACTTCTCTGGATTCCCTCCCAACCCAGCTAAAATTCCACCTTCTACAAACAGCCTTTCTCAATTACTCTTAATGCCTCCCTTCTGTAGATTAGCTACAACGTTCCCTTATCTATCTTGTTTGCATTTTGTCTCTCCCATTAGACTGTAAGCTCCATGAGGGCAGGGGCTGTCCTTAACCCAGTGCCTGGCAGCCAGCAAGTGCTTAATAATTGCCTTGACTTAGTCAAAGCCATACCTTGGCCAAAGGGGCCCAGTTCTAAGGGAATTGTTTCATTCCCACCTCCTGCTACAATAGTAACAAAATTATCAGTCAACACGTCTCGAGCACCTACTAGGTGCCAGGCACTGTGATGTGTGCTGGGGCTCCAAGGACAAAGAATGCAGAGATTCCTACTTGCATCGAGCTCAGTTGTAATGAAGGAGGCAACAGGTACATAAATAAATGCATACAGCATCCCTCCAAATTGAGTGAAAACAACTACAAACCAGGTAATTAAAAATGCAGGCAGGGGGAGGATGGGCGGGCACAGGGAGCTGGGAACGGGGGGGGGGGGGGGGGGGGGGGGGGGGGGGGGGAGG